TTCCACATAGAGCAGACAGAAGTGGAGCCTGAATATCGAGCTATTATGATAGCCTTACAACAGAAAATATATTTTTAAAAATAGTATCATAAGTCACTTTGAAAAATAACTTATCACCAATACGCGTTACTTACTGAAAAAAGTAATATAAGTACCAAGTAAAAAGTAATGCGTTACAAATTAGGAATTATTTTTTTCATTAACGAATGACTTTTTCAATCCATTACAACGATTGACTTTTCTAACTCTGATGTTAGCATTACCATCATAAAAAATTCACAAAGTCATTATCAAATCGTTATTATAATAAGATAATAATCAACGAAGTAATGCGTTACTTGCCAACCCTGGCTAATATATTAGGTGTAGTAAAAAGAAATTCATTATTTTTCCAATAGATGGCTTTAGTAATCTGCGTAAACGAGATTACTAAAGCCATCTATTGGAAAAATAATGGATTTCTTTTTACTACACCTAATATAATAATATTATATATAAGATAGTTATATTGAGCAAATAGAATACTAAACGATAAATATATATTATAAACAAACCTGGCATATGACCATCGTTGGGTTCTCGACTTCGTTTTTTACTTGTAATAAAAATTTCACAATCTAAACATTTAATATATATATATATATATATATATATATATATATATACACAGGGTGGCACGAATATATCCCACTCGTCCCGAGCAGATAGAGCGGATTAAACTGAGTAGAAAAGTCCTCTACTATTTTGCAATGCTCGCAATAATTAACGAGATATTAAAGTTTAAGATAGCCGAATATGCGCATCCGCCCAACCTACTATTATCGAAGGTAATCACCGAGCGCATGGCTCATGGACCTCTAAGCTCGAACGGCGAGGTGCGCTTGCTAGGCCATTCTCGCTCCTTGCAGCCCGCGCGCCGTGCGCGCGGTGGGCCGTACCTTCGACAATAGTAGGTCGGACGGATTCGGCTATCTTTAGAGACGTTAATATCTCGTTAATTATTGCGAGCATTACATGGTAGAGGACTTTTCTACTCAGTTTAGTCCGTTCTACCGGCTCAGGACAAGTGGGGCCGTATATTCATGCCACCTTGTATATATAAACGCACGCACGCACGCATGCACGCACGCACGTATGCATACACATAGAATATTAGTAACATTTAGCTAACTAAAAATTGTAATCAAAGGTAAAAGGGAAATGAGTTACGCCAGTCGTACTTATATACAACAATAATGTATTATTTAAACAAATTCATCCTGTGTTAACTTAACATGCTTCAAAGTCATACATAGCTTATTATATTTTACAAATTTACAACGGCTTATTAAATAATAATAAATACGATGAAATCGTTTAAATAATACATTATTGTAATATGAGTACAACTGATTCATGTCCTTTTATCCTTGATTTATATAGTAAAAAATTAGCATTACTTAAAAGATGATTTAACTTTGTATTTTTTAAAATATAATATAGATTTAAGGGGGCTACTTTGGAGTTAGCGCGGTAAAAGGTGCGCAATCTACACTTATATAATCATTACTAGTATAATGTGTATTAAAAGATGTTAGTTTGAACGTTTTGACTATCGCTTTTAGCCATCTTCAGAAAATACATAATTGATATATTAACAAAGAATATCTTCTATCCAGTCGAAAACTGAGAAAAGCACAAACATCATACAATTCAGTCATTATTCTTAGACATGAAACATAAAGATTAAGAACATTCGATATATCTTGACGATTTTTAAGTTTCATTACAAAATGTTTTATATAAATCTTTTTCATTTGCTCAATATTGTAATATACTTAATTGCAACATTATAATATGGGATTGAAAACGCAATCACTTGTTAACCAAAAAGATAGGCAACTTCTTTATACGATGTTTGTGCTTTTCTTATTTTTTGACCTGGATAGAAGATATTCTTTGTAAAGTAGCCCCCTTAAATCTGTATTATATTTTTACAATTATTATAAATTCTATTTTATATACATATTCTTTATTCTAAATTGTCATTTGTATTTTTAATGACCAGATATTTTACCTGATCATTCCACCAACCGATATCTATTGGATGAAATTCCGTAAATCCTGGTGGAAATTTTTTAGATTTTGTAAATCCTAAAGGATTAGATATATCATATTCTGGCTGTTCAGACAACTTCCATTTTTTTTGTAATATTAAGTTTGGCAAACTCCACAGCGAAACTGAACCATCCATATGCAAACAAACCAGAAACTCGCCATTTGGCGAAATTTTTATGGAAAATATAATTGATTCTGATTGAAAACTAAAAATAGGAATTAAATTCCATATAGAAAATCGCGAATTAATGATAGCAGAATCTTCAAATGTAAATGATAATTTGCAATATGGATAATCATTCAAGAGTCGCCACGAAGTTAATCCAGATTCAGATGCAGTAGACTGAAACAATATATAAATATACTTACATTTAAAAGATTACATATCATATTTACATATACATATACATATATTTATTTATTTATTTACCGTCAATTTTTGTGTTAACATATTTCCAGCAACATAAAATAAATGATGTTTTTCATCATAAACAACAATGTTAACACCGTTTTTATAAAAATTGCCAAAAGAAAAATTATAATTTGCACTGAAACCACCTGTAGAAATATAATAAGATCTTAGCAACCCGCTATACGAAATTAAAATAAATTCATAGGTCCATTTTTCACTCGTTATCCTTGGCTTGAGAAACAACATGGATGCTATAGCGTCACCAGCTTCAAGAATATGAGGAATCTGTGAAATCGTTTTCGGGCTTATATTAAAAATATTATTTCCTAGTGCGTTATAAAAAGACGTATAGCCGCTACTAGAGACCAGTGCTAAGATCATTCCATCGGGACTCCACGCAAGTTTACGCCACTGAGGAAAGGCATCCTTTGGAGCTAAAAAATACATTAAAGGCCATCATACTTAAAAAATTTTAGTGTAATCATTATCGATCAATCGTGGTCAAGCGTTTTAAAACATAAAATAGTTCTTTTAATAAAGTGATTGATCGATTTGCTTACGATTTGCTCTACAATTACGACTAAAATTCCTTTACGTGTGATACTTAAGCATTTTACACATAGATCAAATAGAAAAATATCAATCAAAAAATATTAATAGTACTGATAATATATATTAATACATTATTTACCAGATGCTTTTCCTACTATGGAAGAATATTCATCTTTAGCCTTTCGTATCTCAATGATATTCTCTTGTAAAATAGCAAGTACCCGACCGTGATCTCCCACAGCAAACTTCCAAGGTAGCGTGAGGCTGACTTGCTGCGAGATGCTCTCAGGTAGGGAATACCTGTTGTTGAGATACCTGAGAGCAGTTTTTATTGTGCCAGTAGTTGGGAGGATAGCCGCGTCGTTCTTGCATTTCTAAAATATGAAATATTTTAAAGACACAGCTACAATAATTTCATAGCCCTGTAATTTCCCCGTGCATTAATGTACTAAATGACTAAGTTGAAAGTGAAGGTTTCGAATCGGGTTGGAGTCGGGTCAGAGTTGGATTAAAATGAACATTCTTATCCTAATTTTATAATGACTAAGAAGTCTGTAGTTGATGAATCAGAAGCGAGTCTGAAAGATAGATGACTCGAGTTTGGTTGAAATCGGTGAATTGGTAGAGTTGGCCACCAAATCAACTTCTTGCCCATATCAGACTATCGACTTTGCAAGCCGATCCGATTGTTGACTCTGACTACTGATCCTCAGCAATGGTGAGGCACCTTCTTTTTCTTTTTCTTTTTTTTTTATTAATGGTTTTCGAAATTGTAAACGGAGATTGATATGGCAAGATCACGTCTTATGAGAGAAAAAATAATGATACAATGCCTGTGAAAATAACGACGCTTGCCCGGACACTGGGCGCCTGCGTTTACGGCGTCATCACGTCGCACGGACGTGCATCAGGACCACGGTTGCCAGGACTCCAATTTTCGAGACCAATCTCCAGTTCTCCAGCAGACAGGAAAAATTTCGCTCGCGTGGGATATTTATTAATTGCAATATCCAGTGATGCCCACGATGTTATCATATATTATATGATTATTATGGTTTTTCATTCAGAATGTTTATTTTAAAATATTTTTACTATTATTACTAAGTGTAATGTATAAAAGAAAAGCCAAAGAAGAGATAGAAAAACTACTACAAATAGATGTATGATGCTGGTTTTCGCAAATGTTGTGTTAAAGATGTTGATAGCGTATTGTTTTTTTTTTGTATTTTGTATAACGCGCTGTATGGTACAATATTTAAATTACGTGGAAAGTAATAGAAAATCTGTGATTATGTTCGCAGTTTATCTTATTTTACGAATAATAAAAAGATTTGTAATTGTGTTCGTACTGTATCTTGTAATAATAATAAAAAGGTCTATGACTGTTGATATTTTATGTTGGTCAAATATTAATAATAAAAAGAAAATCTGTAACAGTGATCGCAAAACACGAATTAAATCCTGCACCTTTTTCTTTTCCTCTCATTTTTTTTTAATGAAACAATCGGCCGATCGCCAATTGGAATATGAATCTCCAGCGCACGGACCTTCGGGCCCCAGCCGTACAATACTCGAGACCTGGCAATCGTGATTAAGACAGGTCGTCCAAAACCGCAGGACGGCTATGTGTGTCAAGGCTCAATCTAAGTCGGCAAACTTTCAAAAATATAAGAGCAAAAAAATATAATAGCGAGCCCCGAGCCGAGATACATCTGTTAGAAACCATAAAAAGAGACTCGCCAACTCGTCATGACTGTGAATGATTCTAATTGACTGGTGGATCGCATATCTGTGTTCCATGAAGATGTACTATGTAGGCTGCTGAAAAAGTTTCTGCAAACAATATGAAAAAAAATATGTATATAAAAAATCATTGCCCGAAAATTTTCACGCGAAATTTCCATTTTCTCACAAAATAAATTCTTCTTTTAAAATACTATGCAAACAAAACTAGTTGGCTTGGGTATAAACTGTCAACTGAATTATAGATTAAAAACGTCTAATTTTACGGATATGATAGTAGCAGAACGTTGACGCCACTGAAAGTATTAGATTGCAGAAACTTTTCCAGCAGCCTACGTATAATCTATTCTAATCTAACAGATATAAAGATACATTAGAGCAACTTGATAACAAATTTCTAGCCTCTTTCTCCGGGTGAATTAGAGCAGCTTGTGTTAAAGTACTATGTGGTGTAATATAGAAGACACTATATTTGCCTCTAACCGAAGGTTACTTTTGAAAAAAAATATACAGATACAGAAATGAAGAATTTTTCAACATTTGCCTATTTTGATTATTGTTGGTAAATTAATTTATCACTTCTATGTAAAATTATGAAAAAAGCAATGTATATTGTCATGAATATTTCATTAATAAACATTTCATAGTCATTTCGTAGTCAAAAATAAGTATTACGGAAGTTAGAAATATCTGTTTCATTAATAATGTAATTTTCTTATGATAGATATTGATTTTATATATTTTTTATGTAATACCGTTTGTTGTATATAGATACTTCAATAAATCCGGTGAAGGATACGCATTAGTGCGACTTCCTAAGGAAGACCAATATCAAAAAGCATGAGCAGATGCTGCTTTAAGCGAGAATGCATCAAGATCCTGAATAATCTTAGATTGTGCGAAGTCACAATCTGTTCATTGTAAGAATGCTATGCAAAATCCAAATAAAAATAGTTTAAAAAATGCTTCTCCATTTAATGCTTTTCTCATATCAAGTACATTTGAATCATCGGATTTATTGATAGTAGGTTGCCGGGAAGAAATGAAAAAAAGTGCGATACCATCACGTTTTTGTCATTGTCTCTCTGAGAATTCTTATAAATCGCAAGCAAAAAAGCGAAGGAAAGAAGAAATTCATGCGCAATGTTAAGATAAGAAATATTTTAACAGCCAATCAGAATCATTCAGTCAAGAGAAATACTCTCGCGTTTTATTAATTTTACTCTTCTATACAATTGAATCAATCGGTGGCAAACATCGGCAAGTGTGATCAATCAACTCGGCACTCAAAATCGGGTCAGCCTGCAGAGGCTGCAGGCCGATAGTCTGCTATAGCCTTAAGATCGAAATCAGACTACGCATTGAATATTGAGATTGAAGGTTGAAAGACTAAATTTGACCAATGAGTGAATTTGACAAAAGATTTTATTCCTCTTCCTATTGTTTTAACTGGTCAAATTTCAATCTTTCAATCTTCAATCTCAATCTTCAATGCGTAGTCTGATTCCGTCTTATTAAAAATTGAGATTAAAAATTGATTGAAAATTAAAATCTGACAATAAGAAAAAAAAATGTTATTTCCTTTTATTTTAATTGGTCAAATTTTAATTCTCAATCTTCAACACATAGTCTGATTCAGGCCTAAGAGGAGATTCCGAAAACTCAACTCCGCAAAAAAATGGGCCTGGTTTGAACTCCGAATTGGGAAGAATCCGCTGAAAAGAATAACTTACTAATTTAGACGCAATATCAATCTTACCTCACTTTATTTGCCGGCTTTATTGGTTTCTCAGCCATCGACATATAGGTATTCATAGTCAGTTCTTATTTTAAGACCGTTTTAAGTAATATCTTAAGAAACTAATATGACTCTCTGATTAGCTTATGACATCTTAAGCTTGCTTAATGGTCATTTAATAAGCTATTAATCAGAATTCACATGACATTGGTGGTCAGAATTATAAGTCATAAATCTTAAGGAAATTTGTATCCACAATAAATCATACTAGATCGTTTACATTTCAGCCAATCAGAAGGATGGCAGTTCTCAAGTAAATGACAAGACTGAGTTCGCATGTTCCATGTTTATACTATCTTTTTTTTATTATTTTATATCTTAAAATGTTCTACATTGTATTATACTTTTATTTCATTTTAATAGATAATTTGTTATTCACTTTATCTAATTATTTTCAGACATACGTAATAATTCAATTGGTATACATAATTTTCAGATATACATGAACAACTATACATGTATTGTCCATAATTATAGGTAATATGTAAATATAGGTAATATGTAAATGTATAATTATAGGTTTGTTGATAACAATTGGAATCTATTTGATTCATCACTGGAAATACATGATGCAGGCTGCTTCATGTTTGATTTGGTTCTGATAACAAAAAATTCGAAATGTTTGTATTTGATTCTGATAACAAAAAATTCGAAATGTTTTGTACACGTACGCATATATATAACTTTAAAAGTAAATAATAAATAATATTGTATATTTACTGCCGTGAACTATGTGGGATAAGAAATGACATTTCATCATAATACTGGAAATCCTCGGTATCCTGGCTTGCACCCGATCCTGATCGCCCTTGTTCATAGTATTTTTTATATTGACAAAACTACATAGCCCCGAGCTCTTAGGCTCTCATCTTTTTTAGGCTTACTCATCTAATATAAAGGCAAAAGAAATGATAACAAGGTCTAAAGTAGTATCAATGTTTTTTAAAATTATTATACTTATCCGGTTTTTTATTGATTAGAGTAGCATCAATTTGAATCCACACTTATTTCTTATCAGTCTTAAATTCTCGTATTTTTTCATTATACAGGCAATAATTAACCTCAACAAGCTTAATGAGCCCCATGTCATCCGTTTCTTCAAAATGTACAAATTCCATTTGTAACATACTTGTACACAATAAATTACTTCGATCTTGATGACATATAATAACACAACAATTTTCCAGATTATATGAAGTCTGCAATTCTCTTCCGTAAATGGGATTTATTTGATTGGTCAGTCACAATCATAACGTAATTATAAGTTAATCGGACGAGATTAAATTTGGCCATCTCAGTCATTGACTGCTCACTTATTATTGTCTTATGTCACTACTGGCTTGCTTATAACTGTTTATAACTAACTCTTAACTTTTAATTTATTACTAATAGCTTATTGTAGAATGGCCATTAAGACAGCCTCAAATATAAGAATTGACTATGAATACAGGCTATAGAATGGATTGCTGATGACAGTGCTGGAGGTAGAAAATAGAGCTAATGATATCCAGGTACCTGGATACCTCATTATTATCCGAGATGCACGATAATACTCGATACATATTATATATTCGTATTCGTTGACATAACCGTATTAACTATTAGGTGTTGGAATTAATTCGTAGCGTTTTTAAATGAAAGAATGTTATTTATTTCACATGAGCATTAAAAAATACATTAATGAAAGTACTTCCCATCACTTGTAAAACGCTACGAATTAATTCCAACACCTAATATGTTTTTTTTTTATTATAGTGATGTATTCTACATTTTACATTATACAGGGTATTTGATAAGTAATGATAAAACTCTTGCATAGGAGTAGAGCGGACT